GCTCTCCATCATTAATATATAAGTTATTTATATTGCAAGGGCAAGTACCTGATGAAACTGGGACCGACTCTTCGAAGGTTTTAATAAAACCTTGACATATCACCAGACTCAAGAAAGATGCAGGACGGAATTAGCAATATTATCCTGCCTAAATAACATATGTTAGTTGGAAAAACCTGTTTCATTTTCAACTCATGGAATTAAGTGTTTAGAAAATTACAAATTAATTGCTCTCCATCATTAATATATAAGTTATTTATATTGCAAGGGCAAGTACCTGATGAAACTGGGACCGAGTCTTCGAAGGTTTTAATAAAACCTTGATATATCACCAGACTCAAGAAAGATGCAGGACGGAATTAGCAATATTATCCTGTCTAAATAACATATGTTAGTTGATTAGAATGTTCTAACGATTATATTGGAATGTACACGGACGGTAAGTGATGCACATTAAGAGGGATAGCAATTTAAAATTCGAAAGGTGAGTAACACACAAAAATGTGTTATGCGATTTGAAGTGTATAACTTAAATTATTGATTGATTAGATTGTCTTTTTTATTTAGCAATTTCTATTTTATAATTTAATATAATCACAACTACAAAATAAGAATTTTTATAACAAAATTCAAGTTATGTAAATAAACCAGCATAAAAGATAAATATTTTTTATGCATACAAGGAACTAAGAGAAATGTTTCGTTTGGTTGATTTTGTTTATACTTGTAAATTCATTTCAAGTGAATGATTATTACTTTATAATATGACGTAATCTTAACTATCAAATAATAATTTTTATAATAAAATACAAATTATGTGAACAAACAAGCATAAAAAATAAATATTTGTTACGCAAATAAGGAAATAAGAGAAATGCTTGTTTGGTTGATTTTGATAATATTTATATTCATTGCAAGTTAACTTGACAAAATTTGAACAAAATATATGATAATTCATGGCCTTCCCTAAGAATCAAACATCAATCAACAAGTTAGTCAAAGTTTATTGCTAACTAACTACGATAACCTTTTGGGGTTAGTTGTTGTACAAGGCATTATAACAATCTGATCAGGAAAGGGAAATACATTACAAATTAAGCAAATGAACAACAGGAGCAAAGAATTTGCAAATAATATTTTTAAAGAAAGTATGGTACATAGTGGATGTCATGATAATTTCTTTTATTATATAAATTATTGATATTGACTATAACTAATGGCTTAAAAATAAAGATTTCATAAAAAATTTGAAAACCAAATATTTCCCCACCTTGGTTTAGGATACAATGAACTTTTATGTTGAGCTTCTGTAAGGAATTTCTTTGAAAATTTTAAGTCAACCCAAAAAGAAAACGATTATTTAAAATCATATGGTATCTGCTTCCTGGCTAGCAAATGGTACACTGTGAACATAGAAAACGCAATTACCATCCATTTGTTCTTATCTGCAACTTGTGCGTGTGCGTGTATTGGAGCTGCATTTTCTTGAGATAGCTGAAATGCTTTGGCTGCATACCAAATCATGCGCTTAATGCTGAAGTTTTGGTGCTTTTGATAGAACGGATTACGGGTGAGGTGGCTTACGATTCGGGATTTAATGTTAGTTATGTTCACGTGGAAAGTTCCCATTAGGGAATGGTCAACAAGTTACTAATTTATTAATTTAAGTCTACAATTTAAGGAGTAAAAATTTAAACAAATTCTTGTTGATTACTCCTTCTATTTCAAAATAATTATTAATTTTTGAGTTTAAGTTTTTCTATGAGAAATAAAATTATTTTTTATTTTAAATTTATCTCAAAATAATTACTTTTTTATTTTTAAGTAAATAAATATTTTTTCATATTTAATTTTATAATTATTTATTTATTTAAATTAATTATTCTATCACAAAAAATATATAATCTTTTAGTTTTTTTACTAAAAATAATATAAATAAATGTATGAATTATTCCTGAATTCTTAATTTAAGAAGAACAAATTAAAAAAACAAAAATTATTTTCAAATTAAAAAAAAAAAAGAAAAAAGTTAAGGTTGCTTTCACACCATTCTTTAGTGCAAGAGGTTGTAATCAATTAGCTACTAGTTCCATACCAAGAGGTAGTGGTAATTCTTTTTCATTCTTTACTGCCTTTTCCCATTATACTATCATAACTTACTTCAACAAGGTTTCAAACTTTCTTTTTTATCGTTATTAAAAGAAAAAAAAAAAATACCCTACCAATTACCAAACTTGACTAAAAGTCATTGATCCATGTCCTTTTTTTTCTTTTTTTTTAATATTTACCCAAGTCTTCCCAAAGAAATGGCTACTAAAAGAGAGGTTTGGTGAATTAATATAATTACCATAGATTAATCGGTCAACAAATTTTGAGTAAATTCAATTATAAGCATACAATGCCATTCAAGGATTGATAGGCACTAATTACACAAATATCACTAGCTAGAAGCAACTTACATTTACGCTACAGATATATTACGACATCCATCACATACCAGTGAACCGTACGCTTGCTTGGGTTAGGGCAAAATGGTTCAGACCCACCTTCGCACAACTGCAATTTGGTCTTGATACGAACTTCTCAGAGATTGCCGTTTGGATTTTATACTCACTGATATCAAGAAAGTAAATGTCAGCCAGATTCAAACCGTTGACTGTGAAAGTTACTAACATAAAATAGTAGTTGATATTATGACACTTGAGTAATGAAGGCCAAAAATGAAAAATAGATGAGAATACAATCTAACAAATAGTCAACTACATACTTCATTTTCAGAAAATATACAGCATGGCACTCCTTGAATGCAAAATTTTGCATTCCGAAACTCCATTTCACCAAAAAGAAAGAAATCATTATATTATTATTTGAGCATCAGTTTCAAATTTCTTATACAGACAAATGAAACAATACCATTAGCATTTTCAAAGCAAAAACTATCAAACTATAGAAGTGTGATATCCCTAAGTGAAGATGCAAAGAAAATCACTTAAATGAATCCGAGCCTATTGTGTCTATCATGAATAAAGAACATCCATAAGCCATTCTCAGTTGAGACCAACAAAAGCAACAAGATGAAGAAGCCATCCAAAAGGAAGACAACATTGACAATAGTAACCAAATATCTAGAAACTGGAAGAAGGAATCATCCTGATAACTTCTCAATTAAAATAGTAAAAAAAGGGACTTTTTCATACCTCAGTTGGTGATGAAATAATAGATTCCCTGCCAGGATCCAAACAGACAATGTTAGCCATAATCTATTACAAAACTATTTAAAATGCCAACTTCTCGAAAAGATAAGGAATGTATAAGATTATTACCTTGGTCTCTCAGCCTTAGCAAGATGTTTAGACATTATGGATGCCTGCAACAAAACCAATCATCGTATTTCTATCAACTCTCAAACCAAAAGGCAAAAATCTATTATAAGTGTTATCTATCAAAAACTTAGATTTGGACCAAAAAAAGAATCAAAACTTAGGTAACTGATTTAAATTACATACATATATATATAGCTTTATTAACCAAAAATGGGAAAAGCTTTCATGTGCTGAGATCTTCATAAAACAATGTTCTCATAAAGCATAATCACATCATTAAGTCTATTAATTTAGAATGACGCCATGTCAGCATCAGAAATCAGGAAAAAAGAACTTAGGCTGATATAACAGCAAATGCATAACTTCTAGTGCAGAAACAAAAGAAAGTGTGTGCAAAATTTCAGCAAGATGCCACTAAGTTGATGATTTATTGGCTTACTGTTAAAATTATTAATGTCACAAGAGTTCTTAGATGATAAACTGGACAGGAATACCTGATCAAAGAATGCATCTAATAATCAAATAAACTCAATCAAAAGAATGTATTGTAGGAGCCTCCATTTCCAACAGGTGTAACTTTTTGGAAGGGATGGTACCTGCTCCTGGATTATGCTCCTTGCCTCAACAAGTTGAGCTTCAAGCTCTAGCTCCCTCTCTGTTGCTTCAGAAGTGACTTCAGCACCCTTTTGTGCATCTTGTAACTGAACCATGCGCTCCTAACAACAAAGGAAACACACCAAAAATGTCAGTCATTTACCAATTACCATCTATTGTAGCATATGAAACAAGAGATAAGATGATGATAAAGAAGTAAATACCTTTATTGAAGCCATCTTAGTTCGGAGACTCTCTTCTATTTGATCTCTAGCTATGTGAAATGGCAGGTCAAATACATCCTATATATAACAAACTTTCTACTTCAAAGGGAGCACTTGGCAGTCAGTAAAACAACAAATTTGCATCATTTTAAGAGCATACCGTCTTCCCACCAAATGGTGATTGTGAGGCATCAGTTTCAAGTCTTTCATTCACATCCAAAGATTGCTTGGGCAATCCATTAGGGGCGTTTAGAAAATCACGCATATCAACCTGCAAACCATTCACATCCAGAGAAGTATCAATCTGTGGCCATCCAAAACACAAACTTTTCCACCAAAATATGCATAATACTCATAAAATAATAGGAATGAAAGATAACAAGCAAAAAATGATGAAATATTGTGGGAGCATATTTCTATAACACAAGTACTCATTACAATGCATATGCCATTCAGACACCATTTGTTATAAGAATCGAAATGACATACCAAAAAAATATGAAATGTGTCTGTTTGCAACATCTTTCTTCCATCAAGCACATAGAGTAAGATCCTAAAGGGGCAAGAGAGGATAGAACAGTTGACATACCTGCATTGACCTCAATAATGCTCTTAGGTCAGCATTCTCAGCCATTAATTCTTGATTTTTCGCCTCATAAGCATCCACCTATAAATGGCTCAGCATTAAACATAATTTCACCAGAGACATTAAATTCCAAATAAACTGGATCACCCTTCTTACAATCTTTTTATAGAAATCATTGTCAGCCTTCTTCCCATTCCAAGTCCCACGTTGTCGCCCTTCTTTCTGTTGTCACAAGTTATAAAATCCATTAGCTGGACAAAATTAATATTCTTTCGGTAGAACTACTACTAGTAGTCAAACATATACCTGAAGCAAATTCATTATCTCCATTCCTGATCTCGATTCCTTCTTCTTCTCTATTAGAACTTGGTTAAGCTTCTCCTGCAAAAGAAACACTCAAAAATTATCAAACCATATAAGTATGATCTTATTCTATGATCATAATAATCATAGTATTTTTAAGTGATCAAAACCCATAGAGAAAAGATCATACCTGCAATTTTATGTACTCCTTTTCTTTTTTCTTCATTTCATGTACTTGCTGGGTTCTCACTTGCTTTTTTAGAATCAACACATGATTAATAGTTGTCCGTACATGTTCAAAATAAGCTACAGAAACAAAGTAATTAAGATTCCAATAAATAAAAAAATTGCCAACCTGATTACCAATCACCATCCTCTGAAATTCATCCCTTTCCTGCTGTAGCTTCTCAATTTGCGCCTTAAAAGCTGCTGTATTTTTGGCTTCCTAATCATAAATATTTTAACAAGTATCCTTAGCTCAGACAAGAATGCTTTAGCTACACTTAATCTCGCTGAATATAACCAAAGATTCTAACCGTTCTTGTAATTGTTGCTATTTCTCTATCTTTAGCTTCCAATTGTGACTCAAGCCTCTCCACTTTCGCTTCTAATCTTGATATATCCGATATCAATCTACATAATAGAATAGCAATGCCTAATTAAACAAGAACTTAAACAAAAAGAAAAATGTGTATACTACTTCAATATCATCAATAATTGCATTTAGTATCGAATTCCACCTCAAGATGTAGTTCTAGCTAAGACTACTCCATGAGCTCAATTTACTACAGAGGAAAATGCAAATATCTTAACCAAAAACTTTGTGCATAGTATTCAATACCTTTGTCGTTGTTCATTTGCAGACTCTCTAAATTCAATATCCCGTTGCCTCTGCTGTAATAGAGAATACAAGCAATTGCAAGTCCTCGCGATGGAAACCTTAAAAAATAAAAATTAATAAAAGACAGATGAGTAGAACAGCTACTGAACACCAAATCGATCACATTACCGTTCGTTGCAAAATTAACTAGGATAAGAGACAAAACGTACAGGATCGGAAGCAAATAGATCGAGTGAAGCGGGAAAACCGAAGGTGATGAGCGTTTGGTTCAAGTACTTGGAGCATTGCTCCAAGTTTCCGGCATCGGCAAACGTGTAATCTCTGCAACCGAACAAATCAGAGGAAAAGAAGAAGAAATCAACGAAAATACATTTACCAATGAAGTCGATGAACTGACCCGATGGAGAAGGCGGACTGTGGGGATGGCTGTGAAGAGACAGAGACAGAAACAGAAGGTCAGACTAAGATAGAGAAAATTAAGAGGTGTACTGGTTAGGGTTTGAGGAAGAGAAATGGCACCCTGAGATCGAAGTCTGCGTCGGTTCCCGGCATTGTTGCAGGCGTGAGTGAGGGAAGTTTTTCGAAAAAGAGATTCAAAGCTCGGCGCCTGTCAGCCTGTGTCTCAGTCGGAGTAGTATGTTGGATGGATCTAAACAAAACAAAGCGGGGGGCAAATTTGAAAATTGAAAATAAAGTGGACTTGTTTGGATTTTGGATTTGCGCGGTAGACCCGACTGCCTTTTATGAGAGTGGAGAAATCACGTGAGGTCGCATTCACTGTGTATTAATAGTAGTATAGTACTAGTACCTTTGCAGGTCGAAAGGCCTCGATAGAGACGCCACGGTGGAAATTTGCCTCCATTCCCGTGAGGTTTGAGGGGATCCCGGGACGAAAATAAATATTTCTTTTCGTGAGACGGGAAATGGGGTATTTTCTTCGTTCCGCCATGTAAAAATTAAAAAAAATATATAAATTAATTTTATTTTAAATTTAATTTAATATTTAAATTTAA